AGTCAAACTTCACCTCTGTCTCCATCCAATCTTGTCAACACTCCTAATACATTTAATGTTCCTGTTGTTTGTGACCCTCTAATTGTGTCTTCTTCACCATTAGTTCCTGCTCCGCAGTCAGCTTCTTCTCCACTGCCTCTTCAGATTTATAGTTCTCGAAACCAATCACAACCACCACCATGTGACTCTACTCAAGTGTCAACTACTCTGTCTCCTCCGGATCTGACACATGAGTCTGACCTTCCCATTGCCCTCCAAAAAGGTATTCGTTCTACACGTAATCCCTCTCCCCATTATATTGCTTTGAGTTATCATTGACTGTCATTACCTTTTTAAACATGTCTTTCCTCTATTTCTTCTGTGACCATTCCAAAAACTGTCTGTGAAGCTTTAGCTCATCCTGGTTGGCGACAGGCCATGTTAGATGAACTAAGTGTTCTTCATAATAGTGGAACTTGGGAATTGGTCTCGTTACCGTCTAGAAAATCTGTTGTTGGTTGCAGGTGGGTGTTTGCTATCAAAGTTGGACCTGATGGTACTATTGATCGCCTCAAAGCTCGTCTTGTGGCCAAAGGTTATACTCAAATTTTTGGGTTGGATTATGGAGATATCTTTTCCCCTGTGGCAAAGATGGCTTTTGTTCGTTTATTTATCGCCATGACTGCTCTTCAACAATGACCTCTTTATCAACTGGATGTTAAAAATTCTTTCCTCAATGGTGATTTGTAAGAAGAAATATATATGGAGCAACCTCCTGGGTTTGTTGCTCAGGGGGAGTCTTCTGGGATGGTATGTCGTCTTCGCAAATCCCTATATGGCCTAAAACAGTCTCCTAGGGCTTGGTTTGGAAAGTTTAGCAAGGTTGTTCAACAATTTGGTATGACTCGGTGTGAATCAGATCATTCTGTCTTTTATCGACACTCGAGTGCTGGATGTGTTTACTTGATAGTATATGTTGATGACATTGTTCTTACAGGTAGTGACAACCATGGCATCTCTCAGTTGAAACAACATCTCTGTCACCATTTTCAGACCAAAGATCTTGACAAACTTAGATATTTCTTGGGTATTGAGGTGGCACAGTCCAATGATGGTATTGTTATATCTCAGAGGAAGTATGTCATAGATATTTTGGAGGAAACTGGGTTGATGAGTTCAAAGTCTGTTGATACACCCATGGATCCCAATACTAAACTTCTACCAAATCGGGGGAGCCTATATCTGATCCTGAGCAAGTATAGAAGATTGGTTGGAAAATTGAATTATCTTACGAGTTACTCGTCCCGACATTTCCTTTGCAGTCAGTGTGGTAAGTCAATTTCTTAATTCACCATGTGAAGATCATTGGAATGCAGTCATTCGTATTTTGAAGTATATTAAAGGATCTCCTGGAAAATGATTGTTATATGGTTCTAATAACCATACAAGAGTTGTTTGCTACTCAGATGCTGATTGGGCAGGATCTCTTTCGGATAGAAGATCTACATCTGGATATTGTGTCTCCATTGGTGGTAACTTGATCTCATGGAAAAGTAAGAAACAAAGTGTTGTGGCAAGATCCAGAGAAGCAGAATATAGAGTTATGGCCTCAGCTTCCTGTGAACTTGTTTAGCTCAAGCAATTGCTTAGAGAGTTACAATTTGGAGATGTCACTCAAATGACACTTGTGTGTGACAATCAGACTGTTCTTCATATTAGTTCTAATCCTGTCTTTCATGAGAGGACCAAACACATTGAGATTGACTGTCATTTTATTCGAGAAAAGATTATGTCTGGAGATATCAAGACTGAGTTTGTTAACTCAAGTGATCAGTTAGCAGATATTTTTACTAAATCTTTACGGGGTCCTAGAATTGATTATATTTGTAACAAGCTTGACACATACGATTTGTATGCTCCAGCTTGAGGGGGAGTGTTAGATATTGTTTAGATATTATTTGATATTGTTAGATATTGGTAACCACAATATCAAACAATATCTTCTGTTTATTCTGTTACTTTCAGTTACTCTTTTAGTTGTATCTCTCTACTATAAATAGATCACCCTATGTGTGATTTATACACAAGGGAAATTAATTCCAAACTCTATTTTCTCTATATTCAACACTACCTAATATAATTTTAGTTAAAAAACAAAATCGTGCTACCTATACCATGAGTTAGAAAAAAAAATTCTCAAGTGAAATATTCGTGTAAGGGTGTATGATTTCTTCATTGGTATACTCATCTCATGTATCACAAATTTTTCAACGTGAAATTGTATCTCCATATACAATTTTATCCTATTTAAAATTTTTCAAATTCTATTTTCTTTTTTCTTTTTTTTACCGAGATAAGTAAAAAAGCCTTATAATTTATCAGAATGTTTATACGTGAATCTTGTAAGATTCTAATCAGTTAAAAAACCTAAAAAGTTAAGGACTAGGTTTTCTGAATCAGTTTTCTGACTGACTTGACTATCAATACTTTTAGCAAGCTAAACGAAACAGATAATAAATCACTTAAATTATGAGATATTTAAGTAGTTATCTAAAATGTTTGGATTCACATGAGTAATGCATCAAACTTGAAATCTCATAAAGTTAATGACTGAATTATCTAGAAAGTAAATACGTAAATAGAGAACAGTACTCAAAGGTGTAATCCTGGTTTCACTACTCAAACAATTCTTATATTACTTCCACTCTCCACACACAAGTGAGATAATTTTACTAAACCAATCAATAATGTGATTCTTTTTACTGTCTCTAGACTGCATCATGATGTATATTAAGTTTTCTTCTTTAGCCTTTGCAGGCTTAAAAACTAGTATTTATTTTCAAAGCCATCATTGGCTCAATATACAACTGCTCTTACACCAACACTATACAGCAGCACTTGCTAGATTCGCATATACGCCAACTCAAAAACAGGGCAGAGTGAAGTCGGTAAATTGTGACTGTGAAAAACATTCAAAGAAGAGTTTAAACACCATTTAGGATATAACACAAGATATATATATATATATATATATATATATATGAATAAATATGAAAATACACATCAACTCCATCAAATTGTATATAAAATATACTTACACAAAAATTTTCATCACTTGTCCGCTAAGGCTCTTTGACACTTAAACTCTAGATATGCTGATGCTTCGCATCCTCTATCTCTTTCTCAATCACCCCCCTTTTAGTTGATTGTTGCCTTATAAGCACTTCACTGGATTCTTAATGAGCCTTAGAACGGAAGCATGGTCCTTCTTTTTGTTGAAGATAATATATATCAATTATTTGGAGCGTTCACCGTATTAGATTCCATATCAGTGGGTTTCCTTCTGATTTTTTTATGTAATGATTTTACTTCAACATACACTAGTACTGATATGTGACCATTGCATTAATACTTCCCATCATATCATATTATTTATTATAATATAACTTCTCTCTTTATCCCTTTAGGTGTAAACGAGAGTGGAGGTTGATCTCTACACCAACTTTATTCTTTGTTTTATGTTGTATACAAGTCAATTTTAGTACACTAGGAGGGCAAGGTTCAGAATTAACCAGGAAAAGTTGTAGGAGGAGGGCTTCTAAACGGGTCTCAAAATCCGTCAAAACCACTCACCACCCCGTTGTTATCAAGTCTCCATCTCTACTAGGGTTTTGGAGTGTGAAATCATAGTGAATTTTTGTAGATAAAAAAACGTATGTTCCTACATAGGAAATGATTTGTTGTTCACTATATCTATACTAGATCACAATATCTCCGTTAAAAAATATGATTATATAATTGAGATGAAATCCTAATTTTATGGAATTGTTATCGGATCAATATGAGAGAATATATTAGAGATCTTAAAGATAAGATCAACTTATAATATATAATGAAAGTGTACATCTTATTTTACAAACCAATTTTATAAGATTCAGTTAGATATTATTTCTAATAAACATGTTTATAGAAGCTCCATGATATCTGTTGGCAAAGAAAACTGCCTAAAAATACCGAATAATAAGGTAATGATGTTGTATTTGGTCGTGATGTTAGGCTTAGAAGCATTTATAATTACAACATGATAATAAAATAAGGTTTTGGTTTGAGTGGGAGAAGCCTTTGAAGAATTTTGCAGGTTATATAATGGTAAAATATACCAAATAACAAAGATTACACAGATTCACGGGTTGGGGAAGGAATAATATAGGAAGTTACACAGATAAATATGTGTATGGTTTTTTGCATGAAGAGTGTCATATCCAGGATGATTCCTTCTTGGGCTTAGCAACTTCATCTTTTGCATGGAAGGAGATTTGAGGGCAATATAATATACAGTCACAGCAACATACTTTTTGTGCCCAGCAGAGGAGGAAACAACCTCTCACATTATCTGTGGTGGAAACATAATTTATTTGGTCTCACAGAAGTGATTAAAAGAACTTGTATACACTGTTTATTTTCTCATGATGAATTAATATTCAGTTGTTGGTGACCATTTTCATCTGCATGCAATTAAAATTAATTTCTTCATCTTAAATTTAAAACCTTAAACATGTGTGTGGCTTTATGGTCAGGAATCGTGATAATTTAGGATATCTAATAACTTCTATAGGAACTTTTTTGCGCCAGCAAGACCCCAAAGGCCAACTTCATCAAGTGAAGAGTGCATCTGTTCTTCATTCTACACCCAAAACAACTTTACATACTCTCCATGTGTCACAAGCATTAAATTTGACAACATCAAATTTTATATATATATATATATATGGAGCATTTTTCAACGGATTAGATTTTAAATCAGTGGGTTTCCTTTTGCACGTGTTCGTTTTTCAGTTCTACCATTGATGTATATATTAAAACCTAATCTATGTTATGTATGAAAAGCTTGATTATTGGAAAAACAAGAACACTCCATAATATCCAGATAGAAATTAAGATAAGATGATGACAAACTCTTTGTGAACATCACGAAGAAGTAAAGTGAGTGGACCTTCATCTATTATTCTTCAAGTCCTAACTTACTGCTTCAAGTAGACATTAAAAAAGTTGATCATGGAATCGCTGATCATAGAACCATTGAGAGGACCATAGAATCCACCAGAATTGTGTATAATGCGTGTGTTGGGCGCGGTGGAAGAAGGCGAGTCAACAACGTCACCATAGGCCTTCTTCATAGTCACCATCAAATCTGCAGTCGAAGCGTGAAGGGAAGGACCCGTTATGTTGCACATAAAAGAACCCTTAGCAGCATCGTACCAAACCTGCACAACAGCCAGACACAACCTTTGTTCCGGAGTGCCGAACACGTGTGTGACAAACAAAGAGCCTCCGTGTGCGGCGGTGTCGTGTTTGGTAGCAATCAGAAAACTACACCTCACTTGCGGAACGCCGTATCCGATGCAAAATTGCCCTGCGTCTTTAAGAACTTCTAAAGCAGAGCCTCCATAGGTGAGATCAATGGTGCCAACGCCTTTACGACCTTCTTTGTTGGTTTCAACGTCGCTAACCCTAATGTCCACTCTGGTTCCTTCTCTGTCTAAAGTGTAGTCTCTGAGCGAGACGCTTGCACGGTTCACGCCCACGCTCACGTGAAAGGTGCAGGTTCTTGAGTCGGAGGTTGAGTATACCACAGATTGGTCTTTCCAGCTAGGGCTCTTTGACACTTCAACTCTTGTTAAGTCGCTGCTATATGTGCTTCCCATTCTCTATCTCTTTCTCAATCACCTCGGTTTTACTTAATTGCTTTGCGATGAGTCTGTGTTCTACAAGCGCTTCGCTGGATTCTTAATTAGCTTGGACTGGAAGCACGGTTCTTCTTTTGTCCAAGATAATTTGCACCATTCTTTTCCGAATAAGATTCCATATTAGTTTTCTTTTGTGTTTGATTCTTTATTCTCCTGAGCATAAATGCAAACAAGATACTCTCAGTCTATCTTCATTGTTTCAAGTTTACAAAAAATTAAAAATTTTGTAACTTTCACTTCATATAATGATTGATAATGTCAAAATATTATATTTGATATAATTTTTTTTCATACATGAGTAATTCGTTGCATTATATATGTTAGATGCTCATAAAAAATATTTAGTTATAATAATTTTAAAGGACTATTTTCAACTCACATTCTTTTTATTTGAGCACCAGTAGTAACTCTTTTTTACTAGTATAAACTCAACTTTTAGTAGAATAAGATAAATATCCCTCTATCAAAGTGGGTATTATTTATAAAGAAATTTTGCCATGAGCTTAAGGATGGACAAGCTTTGGTGAAACTAAAAAATATTCAATTGACAAAAATGTTTAGATATGAACGATATTGAGTTTAGAAAAACAATTAGATTTCGACACTTTATAACAATGTTATTCACTAAATATTTGACTATAAATTTTAATAAGAGATTTGATGTTGTATTAGATATGATCATTAAAAAATGTTGTATAACTCGTTTAATTTAAGTTAAATATATAATTCATTTATTAAAATAAGATGTATAATTTTATGTATTTTGTTTACTCGTTTTATCTCTAATAAATTAATATCATACCTCATTTTATCCTAAATAAAATATATAGCTCATTGAAATTATTTAAATAGAATTTAGGTTTTTTCATTATATGGGTTGAGTTATTGAATTTCTAATAATATACTATGCCTTTTGCTTATAGAAATAGATTAACAGGAAAAATAATCAATAACAATTAATATATCAAAACCGTTAAATTTTTAAACATATAGAGAGAGAGAGAGAGGTTAAATAAAGAAATATAAATATAAAAGCTTAAATGAAGACACAAATAACCCATTTAGATTTGAAACGTTGATCTTTCAAAAGCTCACCTACCTATACTTGAAATTCAACGTTATTTATGAGAAGAACACGAATGACAAAAAACAAACTCTAAAGTAATCGATAATAGAGACTATATACCTTCTTATGAATGAATAACTCAAAAGTTCCAGTTTTTAGTAAAGACGTGCAGGATTTTTCCGTTACATTTTTCAATATTACACTTTTTTTCCAAAAGTAAAGTACCCCACCTCAGGAAAGGATTGATTAAATGAGTCAGCATGTTAATAACTAAAGATTTATCAAAAGTCAGCATCTTTTGTGGTCTCCACCTCACAAAGATCATTCTTCTACAAGCTTGTTTTGTTACGTAAGATTTTCATATAATCTTATATAAAACTTGTAATCATATACATCGAAAAGGTGGCATCTTATCAGAATTATCATGAAAAAAGAGAGATGTGTTCTTATGATTAAATTATGTGGGAGGATATTCATACCCCTCCTGCAAATAAACCAATGGGTGCCATTGGTTGGTTACAAAAAGAATGGAAACAATGAAACGGTAGTACAGTATGATGAATGGCTACAAAAAGAAATCTCAGACCCCAATCAGTGCGTGATCCACATGTATGAATGGTTTAAAATTTAATTAGAATTACTTATGTAATTAATTTTCTTCAAAATTCAAGTAAGATAATAAAATATTTATTTTTATTCTTAAACAATTTTAATTAACAACTTTCATTAATGATAAACTTAGTAGGATTGTTTGCAGTCACAACAGGTATCCTATGTTGAAGACATTTTCCTTAAGTTTGGTAGGATCACTGTATACGAAACAACGCAATTCATGTTTAAGTTTTGGAAACCCTTCCCCAATGTTGAACTATCTTGCTATCATGTCGGTTTTTTTGGTACAAACCAGTCCAAATTATCATCACATCTCAAACTATTATGGCTTTTCACCTGCTTAATGATATTTTGTAAATTTTCTAAACACAGGAAGATTTAATTCTAAGATAAATTTTGTAATACTAATTGGGAAATAAAAGACATTTTAAAACATAATGTTTTTTGCTTATGAATTCTTACTGCATGTATTAGGTATTTGATGTCACAATGGTGATTATTGGACATGTAATGGCAAAAAGATCATAGCAAGAGACATTGTATTGTAAGAATATTTTGGTAGACACGATGATGTTTTCTCTCTTTACTTTGCTTTATTTTTTAAGACTAACCTGTCTAGTTTATTTTACTTGTAACTTTGAATAAGCATGTTGGTGGCCTTTCTATGTGGGATCAAAACCTTCATTCTGACTGAATAAAAAAGTCTTGACTCTGGTGATGATGTAAATCGAGTGTCCAAACATTTTCAGATTTAGTTCTGAGCCGAAGAATTATAATACATTAGTAATGAGGATGAAAATGTGGTGAGGAGCTGAGCATTCATTGCATTTAAAAGAGAATGACAAGCGTAGCTTCATGAGAGAAGAGAACTTCAAATAAAACAGCAGATGAAAAAAAAAAGCTGCAACAGAAGAATCAACCTTGGCAGTGAAAGCAACTCAATGTATTTGAACTCGAAATGCATGATCTGAATGCATTATTCCTTGCAAGAGCGTCTCAGACATTATTCAAAACACTCACTTCATCCAAGTAAATAATTATGTATGGGCAAAACGAACAGAAATGCGCTTCTGAATTGGACTCCTGCAAGAAGGACAGTCTTGCATACCTTGTTTCTCATGGAGCTCATTGCAGGTTGTGCAAACAACCTGATGGGCACATGGGAGGAATACAACAGACATCTCCTCAGAGAGACACATCACACATTCTCTTTCCCGTTTAACACCCCCGGTCAAAGAGTAGTCATTTAAGCTCGTAGCCAGTTCTGAGATAAAAGTGGTGGTCCTTGATTCTTCCAGAACATAGCCATTTTCCATATCAACACGGCTGCTGGCATAGTTTCCATCAATTCCCCTTCTCAATGCAGCAATTTTGGGAGAGTCAGTCTTCTGTCTCAGTAGTGCTATTTCTTTTTCAAGTTTCTGGATGTCATCTCTGTACCTCTGCAGATTCTCCTCTGCTTTCAGTTTGATCATATCCTCTTTTGATTTTGCTGATTCCTCTATTTGTTCCCTCTCTTTTCTTATAGAACTGGCCTGTAAAAGGAGTTCTTCTTTTGCCTTTGCTGCCTGCTGCCACCTAGCCTGTGATATATTCCTTTATGATGAGAACATACTCAGCAACAAAACTCATTTGGCATTTACACATTGAATATGATGGCAACTGCAGAATCTTACAAGTGATGTATGTGTATCAAACTGTACTCTCATGTTTCACTTCAGTAAAACAATATTTACATTTTTGTGGTTCTGGTGTCATACTTTAACTAAAAGACAAGTCTTGCCACCATAAGAAGAATAGAACCTTCAAAGTATGAATCAAACAAGATGCACCACGACAGTAAAAGGATGATAGATCATCATATGCATTAATTCCTTGATGACGGAAGGCAGTTCAATTCTTGACCCTTTAGAAGGTAAAAAGAGGATATTACCTTGTCAGCTAACACCATGGAAAGGAGAAAACACTTTGATTCATTTAACATACAGGCACTGCCCACCCATTTCCCGTTCTAATAGAAACAATGTCAATGGTTAAACTATCCATAGACATGAAAAACAAATAAAATGTCAATGTGTTTCAATCCAAATTTATTTAATATTATTCTGAGCATAAAATGAGAGTTGTGGAATTTTGTAATTTCAGATCATTGCTCCCTCTAACTATAGTTTCTTACATTTTAGGGACAACGCATTTTTATATTGAAGATAACATGAGAGCAAATTAAAAGCTAAATCATGTATGTTAGAGCATAGACGTCAGGTGAACATTTACAACATAGAAAGTACACGAAAAAGCAGTTAGAATAAGCTTGAAATTGTATACCTCAACTTGTTCCTGTTGCACTTTAGCTTGCCCTAATTCTTGCTGCAACCGAGCTAGTTTGTGTTTTTCAGTCATTAGCTCTTCCTGAAACAAGGATTTCTGCTTCTCCCATGATTGAAACTTCATTTGGGTCTTCTTTTCCCTCCTTGAGACCTCTTGACAGCTTGTGGCTGATTCTGCTGCACGTAGCTTAGCTGCCTCCATCTCTTTCCTGAGCACAGTATTATCTACCTCAAGCTTTCGGACATCTGCATTAGTTCGTTCTACCTGTGCACTTGCTTTACACAAGGCATTTTCCATCTCAGAAATCTTCTTCATAGTGTTTTCTTCTAGAGATTGCTTTTCTTTTCTAAGACGTTCAAATTCATCTTTCTCTTGTCTTAATGTCTTCAGCTCAGCCTTGTCCTTACTCAGCCGCCGAGCTGCCTGCATGACCTTCTGATTAGCCCACTCTGTCCATTCTTGAAGCTGATTTTGCAGCTCCTGAACCCTTGGAACTAGCTTCAAAATTATTTCATCCTTTCTATCCTGGGGTATCCACTGTCCCAGGGGCTTGTCACATGGTATCCCTACACAACTACTATTGGATGCCTCATTATTGCAGCATATGGGTGTTACAGGATACTTAATTTTTGAAGACAGAGAGAGAGAAAGATCAGTATCCATAGCTGGTAATGCATTTGGGTTACCATCGGCAAGTATAGCATTTGCTTCATGCACCGAAGATGAAGTATCCCTTGACTGAGAAGCAGTGTCACTGGAATCCTGGCTAAATGCAGTGGGGGTAGATGGCCCATCATTAGATGAGAAAACAGCATTCACATTGTCTTGTGTTGCATCAACTCCCATTGCCTTACTTATATTTAAGGATGTACTCTTTAAGTTTATGGTAGTAGATTCAGATACAGACTTAAGTTTTTTGTCCAAGATTAATCCATTCAAGCCATTTAGTCTT